CAAATTCTCCCCTCACACCCAGGCCTCTTTGTCTTGATAGAAATGTCACAAATTATTTTAAAACCAGTACCAAATTCAATGTTTAGCGCATAACCCACAGCCATTCTTGTTTCATGAAGTTCTACAGTTCTTATTCATTAACAAGCCATCCTTAACACATTTATCACATTATCAGAACCTAAGCTCAGAGGGAGCAGAGACTGTCCAGTATGTCAATTGCACTAGCCACTAACAGAAAGATTATTACCATGTGTTTTCCTCTGCCAGCCCTTGTAGCCAACTTCAGTAAACATCATGAAGAGCAAGTAGCTAAACTCAGACATAAATCACTCAACAATCAGGAATAGGCTCTAAAACTTTATTAGGCATTCGTGAAGGTCAGAGAGTGTGAAATATTATTTTTCTTCTGATGATACTTATTAAAGGTGAGCAGAATACTCACTGAGAATAGTTTCCAGGAGACACACCAGACAAATAATTGACCCTAAGCAGCAAGTGACAGTGTGGTTGACCATCCCAGTCGTACCTGATTCTGAGCCATAGGACAATTACTGTTCAATTCCTAATATGTCAGCTAAACCCAAAGCATTAGTCGCTTTCTCCATAAAATAAAAATATTTAAACTTTATGCAAGTATGTATTACTATATACCAAATCTCTGTTTGAAAACTTCTAACCTTAAAACCATTGAATAAATTAAAATAAGAGATTTATAAAATTAATAATTTGTTCACATAAAAGAATAATAGATTTAACAAAAATTTCAGAGAGTATTAGGAAATTATTTAGGCAACTCTAAGTTTAAAAATAAAGGTAAACTTAAAAAAATGCTCATAGAAATTCCTAACAAAATCATTAAGATTTGAAGAAAAGCAAACTAAAAAAAAAAGACAAGAAACAGTTAAACAGGATGAAATCTAAAGTATTAATAAAAGTATGTGAAAATCTTTAGTTTTTCATTAGTCCAGATGAAAAGCAACCACAACACTCTTTAATCCTCTTAAATTGATAGCTTTTTAAAATATTTATTTTTAGGTTTTTGACATAGAGTCTCCACTTACTGGAGACAGAGAAATACAAAGGGATGGAAAGTGAGAAATCACCTCCCAGAGGGGATGGCCATGCTGCAGTCCCTTCTCCTCCATTCTCCTCTTGGAATAATGGGCATGCACACACACACGCCCAGTATGATTTTCAAGCCACCAGGGACTCAAACTATGGTCGGCAATGTCACCTGTTGGCCTCAATACTTTTAAAGTATAGTGTTTGATATCGTAAAACCAAGCACTGATTTAGTGTAGATGAGGGATACATCAGTATGAACTTCTTTTAAGACATTTATATATAGGGAGAACATTTCTTGTCTTCTTCATCTTAACTTTGCAATCATATTCTCAACCCTACCAGTGTTACTGTAATGATAGTAGAATGTCCTGTGAAGAAGAAAGCAAAATGTTGGAAGGGAAACACTAGACTTTATGTCTTATTCTATTTCATTGCTAACAGAAATACCTGAGACTGAGTAATTTATAAAGAAACAGAAGTGTGTTTGACTCACATTTCCAGGGGGTGGAAAATCCAAAGGCATGAGGATAGCATCAGGCTAGCCTATGTCAAATAATGACCAACAGAAACAGAGAACATTGTGGTTGTGTGAAGAAAGAGAGAGAGAGACCCAGGGCAGTCAACTTCCTTTAAAAACAAGCAGCTCTTGGGAACCAGCAGTTAGTGTAATGGCTATGTTGCTGAACTCCCACGTAGTTGACTGCGGTTCACGTCCCGGACCCAGTGGCTTAAAACTCACGCCGGGCGCATGTGCATGTGTGCCCAAGATCCCAAGAGGAGAATGGAGGAGAAGGGATTGCGGCGTGACCATCCTCCCTGGGGGGTGATTTCTTGCTTTCTGTCTCTCTGTCCCTCTCTGTCCGTCTGGTGAGCGCACGCGCCCTATAGCGAAAATCTCTCCATAAATAAATAAATAAATAAATAAGCAGCTCTTTTGAAAAATAATCCCTTCTTTTGAAAGTCAGAACTCACTGGGTATTAAGAGGTAACATTAATCTATTAATGGGGATGATGCCATTATGATCCAAATGCCATCCATGAAGCCTTCTCTCTTAAACATCTCATTACCCTCCAGTACAATCACACAGGGAGCCAAATTCTCGAACATGAAACTTTAGGGGACAAACCATAATCCAGAGTGCTCTGTGTTTGGGACTTGCTTTGTCTTTGACTTACTAGTTAGTGTACTTCACACACATACTTAACTTCTCAGGGCATTCATCTTCTATTCCATGCCAGAAGTCAACTGAACCACACTCTCTGTGAAGCATCTCCAGTTACAGTACCACATCATGCCCTTGATTTTCTAGTAAACACCTAAATAAACAAAAATCCAGCATACCTATTTTTAATGTGCCGAGGAGAACCAAGACATTTGAAGCTGCCATTGACCATGATGGCCAATCTTGTGCAAAGAGATTCACACTCTTCCATGCTGAGAGGAGAGGAAAAGAAATGCATACATGAGTCATTGTCCTGAATGTGTGAGGAGGCATAAATAAAACTTTAAGCACAAAAATACCATTAGTATTAATCAGTAATTTTTTTATATAGAAACCTCATCAACAAACAAGTAAAATGCTTTTAAAATGGGTGAGATTTTATTTCAGTAGCCAGTTACAAAATTAACAGAAAATTATTAGCATTTCCATGTACCAAGAAGACCAGACATAAACTATATAGGAGAGAACTGATTAGCAAGAGTACAAAAATATGAAATAAATAAGAATGATCAAAACAAAAACTGTGACTGCTCTATGAAAAGAAACAAGAAACATTATAGATGGGCATAAGTCAAATCCTGAATCAATGGGAAGAGGTATTAAGAAAAAGGAAGGACCCAGCCTAGTGGCACAGTTGATAGCAAGCTGAACTACAGTGCTGGAAGCCATGTGACTGACTGCAGTTCAGATCTAAGGACAGGATTAAAAACACGCCAGGCACAAACATGTGTGCCCAGAATCCTGACAAGCTGGGTGGCTGGGGAAAGAGGATCACAGAGCAATGGGACCCTGTCAAAGGTGCTTTTTTCTGCACTCTCTGTCATGAGTGTAAGAGTCATGGTATATGCATTCCAACATATCTTTCTCTATGTTTTAAAATGAATTTCAATTTAAAACAAACTTATCTTTTTTTTTTTTTTTTTTTTGGCATGGGGCATGTGTGCTCCCTGGAGAGAGACAGAAAGAGAGGGAAAGTGAGAAATCACCTCCCGGGAGATAGCCATTCTACAATCTCTGCTCTTCTATTTCCTCTTGGGATTCTCGGTATTAGTGCACATACCCTTGATCTGTTTTTCAGGTTACTGAGTCAGGGACTCAAACTGTGGAGTTGGCCATATGGGATCCAGCACCTTAACCAGCACCCCACCTCCTGGCCTAATCTTGTCATTTTTATGAGTTCATTGTTGGTGCTCTAATTAAAGGGGTAGAACATGAAGTTACTCTCATGTTACATCATTAAACATATTGTGTCATTGGAAAAGTCATGACTCATTTTTGCATAGAAAAATACATCACGACTTTTCTGATGGCTCAATAGTTCAAAAAGTGTCGGTTTTATGACAATCATTAAGACTTAAGGCCTCTGGACCAGTAGGTGGCATAATGATTATCTTATTGGACTCCCATGTGGCTAACCATGGTTCAAGTTTCAGACCTGGTGACTTGAAACTCATGTCAGGTGTTTGCGTGCATGCCCAAAACCCCAAGAGGAGAATAGTTAAGAAGGAACTAAGTCATGGCCACCCTGCCCCTGCTAGGGGGTGATTTTTTATTTTCTGTCTCTGTCTCTCTGTTCTCCAGAAAGTATATGTACCCTATTGTAAAAAATCTCTCTGAAAAATAGACCTAAGGTCTCCGGGAAAAATAAAATCTGATAGTTTCAGTTGAATTATGGTTAGTGATCTAAAAATATAATCTAAATACATGGGATATAAAACCTCACCCTAGAAAGAAGAGATTTCCATAATCTTCTACATCAAGAATACAGAAAACAAAGTATTATACAACAATGAAAGCAATCTCTGGCCATTTACTCAAAAAAATGAACATCATAGTTCCTTTATGGTGGTTAAACTAATTAATATAGAAATATGATTACATGATGCAGAGATTTAAAGACTTATACTGAAATTCCTGAGTCTGTATTTTTGTTTTTGTTTTAATTTGCTATAGGGCGTATGCGGTTAATGGAGGGAGAGAGTGAGAGAGAGAAAGTAAGAAAGCATCCCCCAGGGAGGATGGCTATTCCACAATCCCTTCTCCATTTTCTTCTCTGGATTTTGGGCACTGAAACCCATGTGCGCAGCCTGTTTTCCAAGTAGTCATGTCGGGGACTCAAATCACTTAGTCATGGCGATAGAAATGTCTTAACCCCTAGACCACCAACTGAGCAGTGCTTGATGTGTGAGGAAAAAGTAATCCTGATCATTATTGTTTGGACTAATTTCAATTCCTTTCAGTCAGTAAAGTCAGATACATAGTTCTTATCCTCACTTCCTGCCCCATGCTTTACCATGATGCTCTGGGGGAGAAAAAAGAGGCAACAAGAGAGACACTCAACTAAAGGCCAGTGTCTTAGAATCACAGAAGCAACCATAGCCTGCTCTACTCTTCAATAACAGCAACTAATTTAGATCTTCGTTTTGCATAAATATGGACAGATTCATTCATGTGAATGCAAATGAATAGGAAGATGTCAAAGAGGAATTCCAGTGATATGTGCTCTTTCTGAGAACAGTCTACAAAACCATTGGGTTCTCAGTAGAGTGATGATGCACTTTTACATAGAAAAACACATCATGAGTTTTCCAACAATCCATTATACCTCTATGAGAACTAAAAGGAATTTTTAATGTGATACTATGCTGTCTAGTTTTAGAAATTCTGCATGAATGTGAGGAATTGTTGGTAAGTGCCAGCAAAATGAACACAGGAGTTTACAGGGTTTTTGAAATTGGCAGAGCACAACATTATAGCAAGCAGAAACATGTATGTATTAAGACAAAGTAGGATTTATCTAATTTATTTCATTTCAATATAAAATTTTATTTTATGAAAGAAGCAGAAGGACAAAAAAAATTGGGGGTAGGACTTCTGGCTACACCCTAGTGAAGCAATTAGCAAATAATTTTCTCAAAAGACAACTATAAAGCTGGATGAGAGTAACAAAAACAACCAAGGCACACGATAATCTGAGAAAAACTCGTTAAACTGGAAATGAGACGAGTGGCAAGCTGGGCACTCTAGCCGTGAGTTGCTTTCATCTCTTCTCCACTTCAACATGCAGCTCCTAGCAGGAAAGGACAGACCACAAGGATCAGCAGTGCCTGTCAGAGGTGAAGGGGGTCCACGCAGTTTGTACCAAAGGGTGATGTCCATGCCCAGTGGCATCGCCTCATAACGACCTTGGAGCTGAGCAAACAGGAAATGACAACATCTCCAGAATTTGGCCTGGGGTGGCTTCTACAAAACTAAAATGCCACTGGAGGCTACATGTACATGCAGCAGAGCCCAAAGAGGACCTGGACAGGCGTACTTGTCAACCCAGAGGCTGTCCACATGCACATAGAAGGCACACAAAAGAGCACAGTAAAACTAGGTCAACTTGAAAATGGCCTGACCTTTCACTGTTCTCCACTATACACACACAGACCCACTGGCCGACAAAAATCTGGCTGGCCTGGGGTGACTGAGCATAACCTCTGCCTTACCACTGGCTGGCAACTAGCCTAGGCAGAAATAAGAGTGGTTCCTCTGCAGCTGACCTTTAAAACTGAACAAAAACTTAAAACACAAACAATTAGAAAACTGAGTAGAGGTATCAGTAGCTACTCATTGCAGGGAGAGAAGTACAGAAACTTAATGTGGCCAAAGAAATAAAACAGACAAACAACGGACTGAAAAAAAATAAACAAATAAACAAACAGCAACAACGAAACATTGGAGGAAGGAGGAAACAGAACTCAGAGCCTCTACATTTATCCCAGATGTCCGGTTTTTAGCAAAATTTACAACACTGAAGCAGGAAACTGTGATCTGAACTCAGGGGTAATAGCAGTCAGTACAAACTGTTCTTAAGTGTTTTTAGATGCTAGACTTAGTCATGTACACACTTTATATATATGGCTACTATAAATATATTTAGATGTTTAAAAAATAAAAGGAACTATGTTTAAAGTATTGAAGAAGATTATGACAACAGAAACACAAAGAGATTCTGAAAAAGAGATGAAATTATTTTTAAAAAGGGACTAAACAAATTTTTCCTTTGAAGAGTACTATAAATGAAATTTTTTAAAAATATGTCACTTAGAAGTATCAACATGAGATTTAAGATAGCAAAAGAATCAGTAAACTTGAAGATTGAGCAATAAAAATTATTGAGCCGATCAAGTGGCATGGTAGTTAAGGCAGCTAGATCCTAAATGGCCAACTGCACAGTTCGTATTCTGGATTCAGCAGCTTGAAAAACATACCAAGCATATGTGTGCATGCCCAAAATCAAAAAAAGAAGAAATGGAAAGGAGGGGATTGCAGTGTGGCCAGGCACCGTAGGGGATGTTTGCACATCTTCTCTCTTTTCCCCTCCCCCAACCCTGGCAAGCACACACACCCTCCAGCATATGATGGGAGAATATTTTTGTAAATTATGCCTCAGATAAGGGACTGATAACCAGAATACACAGGGAACTCAAGTGGCTTACCAAAAAAAACAATGATCAACCCAATTAAAAGATGGGAAGATCAGCAGAACAAACAACTCTCTAAAGACATATGAGCAGTCAAAAAGCATATGAATAAATGCTCAACATCCCTCATCATAAGGGAGATGCAGAGAAAACCATAGAGAGATACTACCTGACTCCAGTCAGAATGGCTAAGATTAAAAAAAAAAATGATAAGTGCTGGTGGGGATGTGGTAAAATGGGAACTCTCCTACACTTTGTGGGAATGTAAATTACCATTGTGGAGAACAATATGGAGGCTCCTCAAAGACCTACACATAGAACTACCATATGACCCAGGAGTTCCATTCTTAGTTATCTACCAAAGGATAAGAGATGCTCAGTCAGAAAAGTATTTGCACATCCATGTTTATTGTGGCATTATTCACAATTGCTAAGACATGAAGCCAACTCAAAAGTACACAAACAGATGAATGAATTGAAAAAGTGTGGCACACATACTCTATGGAATATGACTCAGCCATAAAAAAATTAAAAATAATATAATAAAAAATAAAAACAAGAGCCCTGCATTTGATAGAAAGTGGACAATATGGAAGACCTGAAGATCTACTGCTGAGTGAAACAAGCCAGGCTATGGAAGAGAGACACTGTATTTCTCTACTTAATATATACTGACTATCTGCATTCTGTGGCTGAAATCAAAAGCTTAGAGAGTATGGAAACAGGGGAAATGGTTATGGATA